TCCCAAAGGCGCGGGATTACAGGCTGAGCCACCGAGCCCAGCAAATACATAACATTTCTACCATCTCAAAGATGCTTCGTATTACTCTTTTCTAGCCACACCCACTTCCACTCTGCCTCCACCCCCTCCTTAACCTCTGGCATTACTCATTTTTGTAATTTTTGTCATTTCGAGAATGTTATATAAATGGAATAATATACTATGTAACCTTTGGTGATTGCATTTTTTCACTCAGCCCAACTTTCTGGAGATCAATCCATGTTGTTTGTATCAACAGATCTTTTCTTTTTACTGCTGAGTAGTATTTCATGGCATGAATGTACAACAGTTTGTTTAACCATTGGCCAGTTGAAAGGCATCTAGATTTTGTCCAGTTTTCTGCTATTATAAATAAAGCTGCTATAAACATTTGTGTTTGGAGTACAATTGCTGAGTCAGTTTGTTGTCGCATGTTTAGTTTTTTATTTTTTTAAACTTCAAACTCTTTTCCAGAGTGGCTATACCATTTTACATTTCCACTCTCAATGCGTACTCACATTGTGGATTGTTTATCCACATCCTCCGTAGCATTTGGTGTTACCTATGTATTTTATTTGAACCATTCTGATAGATGTATCTTGCCATTCCATTGTGGTTTTAATTTGCATTTCTCTGATGTTGGACATCTTTTTACGTACATATTTACCATCTGTATATCTTTTAAAGTGAAATATCTCTTTGTGTTTTTGCCCATATTCTAATTGGAGTGTTTCTTTTTCTTCTCTTGAGTTTTGAGATTCTTTATATATCCTAGATATTAGTTCTTTGTCAAATATGTAGTTTGCAAATACTTTCTTCTAGTCTGTAGTTTGTCATTTTATCTTAACAGGGGCTGTATTAGTTTGCTAAGTCTTCCATGACAAAGTACTACAAACTAGGTGACTTAAACAACAGAAATGTATTGTGTTACTGCTTTGGAAGTCAGAAGTTCAAGATCAAGGTGCCAGCCAGATTGGTTTCTTCTGAGGGCTATGAGGGATGATCTATTCTTTCCTAGCTTCTGTTATTATAGTTTATTGGCAGTCACATCTACAATGACTCTATAATGGGGGCTTTTGTAGAGCAAAATATTTAATTTGATGTGCTACAGTTTATCAATTTTTTTCTCTTATGAATCATGCTTTTGGTGTCAAGTCTAAGAACTCTTTGCTACTCCATAAGCCCTCAAATTTTTAATTTTTTCTAGAAGTTATATATAGTGTGTGTGTGTGTTTGCCTATGAATGTCCAACTGTTTCAGTACCCTTTGTTGAAAAGGCTATGTTTCCTCCACTGAATTGCTTTTGCACCTTTGTGAAGAAGACATATTTTTGTGGGTCTATTTCAGGGTTTTCTATCCTGTTGTCTTGTTTGGTGCATATATCCCTCTGAAAGTCCCATTCAGTCTTTATTAGTGTAGCTCTATAATACATTTTGAAATCAGACTGGTTTCTTTCACTTCATTCTTCGTCAAGATTGTTTTAGCTATTTTAGTCCCTTTGCTTTTTCATACACATTTTAGAATGCTCTTGGCTATGTCTAAAATAATTTGCTGAGATTTTGATAGGAATTGCATTAAACCTATTTATTAATTACAGAATTGACATCTTTAGTATGTTGAATCTCCCAATATATGAACATATGTTTTCATATTTATTTAGATCTTTGATTTATTTTATTTCTGTTATGTAGCACACAAATCCTATATTTATTTATTTTTGAACAATTGAAAGTGATACTGTATTTTTAATTTTAATGTCCATATGTTCATTACTAGTATATAGAAATACGACTTATGACTGGGCACAGTGGCTCATGCCTCCCAGCACTTTGGTAGGCCGAGGTGGGAGGATTGCTTGAAGCCAGGAGTTCAAGACCAGCGTAGGCACCATAGTGAGACCACCCAACCCATCTCAATAAGTAAATAAATAATAAATAAAATAAATAAATAAATAAATAAGTAACGTTGCTTTCTCTTAAACAAAGTAAAGTAAGTACCACTGATTTTTGTATGTTTATCTTATATAAGCAAACTTGCTGGAGTAATTTCTTCTAGGAGTTTTTTTGGGGGGGTGTTATATTCCTTGGGACTTTCTGCTTAGACAGTCTTGCTGTTTACAAACAGGGGCAGTTTTATTTCTTCCTTTCTGATCTTCACACTTTTATTCAATTTTCTTGCCTAATTTTAGTGGCTAGAATTTTCAGTGCTATGTTGAGTCAGAGTGGAGAGAGCATATAGACATCTTCGCCTTGTTCTCAGCGTTCAGGACAAGGCATTCAGTCTTTCACCACTAAGTGTGTTAATGGTAGGGTTTTTTTTGTAGATGCAGTTTATCAAATTAAGGAAGTTATCTTTTATTCCTGCTTTTGTGAGAGTTTTTAAACCAAAAGTGGATGTTTAATTTT